TAAAAAAGCCCCGAACCAATCCACAATTCAAAGGGGGGTGCGTCTTCCCTTTAACCTTAACATTACTGAGTTTAAAAAAAAAAAAAAAGTTATGCAAAAAGACATGCCTATCGCTGGGAGGTACCTATACTTGACTCTTTTTCATTTACCCGGCAGCATGGTCCCCGAGTTTTCTTATTTTGCCGTGTACCAAGTACACTTTTTTACACAGCTAAACCCATCTCGGCACCATACCCAGGTGGTCGCAACCTCGATACCTAGCGCACCGGGACCGTATACAACACCATGAAAAGAAACGTGCTCTGGATACTGAGTAGATAGGGTATTGTAGCAGAAACAGCCTACCTATTCCAGCTAACTACCGCCATTGACGTCACCGCTAGTTGGCAAATCAATGGACCTGACCATCCCCCTTTCGGGCGGGTTTCCCTGGACATGGTAACACTTCCTCCAGGATGGAAAGTTAGCGCAGAATGCCCATCTCGCCCCATATACGCCATCACCTAGACAGTAGGTGGTGCCGAGTGTAGGGAGGTGGTTAGTTAGTTGGGTTAGTTGGGTTAGTTGGGTTAGGTAGTTAGGGCAGCCAGCGGAATAGGAGACAAGTGACAGCAGAAGGAGCGGAATAAAACCACCGCCGAAAGGAGAAAAAAAAAAGAGGGTAAAAAAGCCGATCTGATTGTGGTTATGTAACTGATTACCGACCTGTTCCTCCGTGAACTTTTGTGATACCTCGGCAAAGCGGATCAACTAAGATAGTATCATGTATGTACCTGAATCGGTTGCTGCGAGTGCTTTACCAGGGTCCGTAGAACATCGTCCGATCTAGCGTACGGAAGTACTGTACGCTACATTAGTCAAAACGGCATGAGAAGTTGGAAACAAGTCTATTGTGAAAGAGATACGATATTAGGCAATTTCCCCGAAGTCCTCATTATGAGGTGGTGGGGGGGTTTTGTCTGCTTGGTTACCTACTAGCATCCTCGGAGAAAAAAAAAATAATACTAGGTAAGTCACAGTCTGTAGGTATATCACTATCTAGCAACCGATGTGGAAACCAGACAGGTTATTGTGCGCCTGGGTCGTGGGCGATGGTAGCAGTGTGCCCCAGGTAATACGGATGGATGGGTAGCGTAATCGGGGTTGGACATTCTGGCTCTCGGCCTTTTCTCTATTATTTATTGGATTTCCGGCCTATTTTTAGGGTGAGAGGCCCGTAGGAAATTTCGGCAGATCCGAACTGTTTACTTACATGCCTAGTGTAGATGCCCGGTAGATAGGTGGGAAAAGAGACGGCATGTGCGGAAAGAAGAAAAAAAAGAATCCAACGTACATCGGTAGGTAAGGAACTAGTTAACTCTTTGCTTCGTTACCCATGGCAAGAGGCAGTCGTCGTCGACGTTTCTGACGCCAGCATCATCATCATGACATGCAAACCCATCTCCCTGTGGAAGTATATATGGGCCTCCGTCTACCTACGGTCTTACATAGTTAGTGTACGTACTGGTGAGTGAGATGTGAGGTGTGTAATACGCCTGCTTGCGGTCGATATTTCGCCCGGTTCCCAGAATGTTCTCTATTTCGGCGAAAGGGAAAAGAAAGGGGGAAAAAAAAAGAATGTATACATATATATGCGCTGTTCTTCTTTTCTGAGCGTTTAATGCGTCAGACATGTGGGCCGTGATCTACTACGTACCCGGATTTCTACTACATAGGTATTACCTCCTTTCCCGTAGGAAAATGTAGGCAAACGTAGGGTAGATAGGTATGTATCGAGACTCGAGTTTGAGCGTGGCAGACGAATCCCAGAAACGGAGACAGAGAGACAGACACACAGACACACGCAGACACGCAGAGACAGACAGAGAGAGACAAGAGACACAGACATAAGGAACATGTCGACCCATTCCCTCTATTCCCTGGTTCCCCTGGCTCCTCTGGTTCCAAATGGCCACGGAGATGGACTGCCGTGACACCCAAAAGGTGACCATGGTACGCTACGTACCCAAGAGAGGGTGTGCCCTCTTCCTCAGGGTGTCATCTACGCAGTGTGCTTCGTGTAGCACGCACTAGCGGTGTCGGTTGGTTTTCTCGGGAGCGCTGGGCCGGGGGATTCGTCCGTCGGGTAGGGTACAGACACAGTCTTAGCATCTAATAGCTCTGGCTATGGAGGAAGTAGTTACACTGCTTGGATTTGGGCATCGGCTTGGGGTTTGGGTTCGGACTCAGGGCTCTATCTATCTAGGTCTTGGGTCTTGGGACTTGGGGCTTGGGTCTTGGGGCTTGGGCTTGGCTTGGGCACGGTACTTCTCGCACACGAGATCAGTCTAAGGTAGGAACCAGAGCGATCTGGCAGCGTCTGGCGCTCAGATGATGCATGATGGGCCTGTCGCTTATCACGGCTAGCTGGGCAGCCTTATTGCTAGCCTGCCAACCTAGACTAGATCCCGTTACCACACATCACAGCATCCCCAGAGTCGCAGAGCATGGCAGCTTTACCGTAGTGATGTTTCACGGCGCCGTCCAGCGTGGCACGCGTGCCCGGAGTTTATATCTGATTTATCAGCTGTGGGTGGTTATAGGAGTAAGACAATTCGTACAGTCTGTATGTCCATACGTCCATACGTCCGTGGGCATGGCAGGATGGGGGAGGGGAAGAACAACTGCAACGGGCTCCTTTTTTCCGTCCAGCTGGGTATGCTCATGTTTGAGAAAGCAGAGTGGCTTGCATACCACCCTGCCATTATCACTATCGACCATACCAATACATTATGTAAATACAGGCTGACGAACATAGTCAAGTGCTCATTTGGGTGGCGGTCAGCTTGAAAAGGCACCAGAAAGTGAGTGTCGTCGTCATAAAGCCACCAATATTCGACCTGGCGTGCAAGATTGTATTGAGAGAGGACCACACGATCGAAAGGCTTTCTACGCAGAAGCGGGACTCTTGGAATTACCTAAATATACTGTAGGCAGTCGAGTCTACGAGGATGAGCCTTGCGGCGCAGTTCCCGGTTATTGAAGCTGAAAGCTTGGCCGGTCGGAAGCCCTGTTGTACGGATGTGGTTCCCTTGCGTACGCCTCAATCTGAGATATTGAGCCCGTTCGCCCGTTCGCCCGTTCGCCCGTTAAAACGTAGCGAGGCAACGGTGAGATCATCCAATGTTCTCCGATCCATGTTTTCTTCTGATACCATGTTTCGGGACGGGAAAATGCCATGCGAGAAATGTGGCGATACGTCGGGAAGCCACCGATTTGACAGGTCATCTAGAGCTAGGTTGGCTAGCAACAGCCTTGTGCCCTGCGAGCAGTAGTGGTACATCGCACGCGTTCCTAGTCGCCGGTAGTGTACCTTAATCTTGGAGGCGTCCGCTACGATAGTCTCCCGTAGGCCGTTTCGTGGCGGCGGGACTAGCCTTCAAGTGTAGTTTGGGGTCGGCCTTAGAACTGAGCTATCTCGCTCGATGCTGACGCGCAGATGCAGGTCATTGATATCAGGCCTGGTATTATTACATACGTATTGCCGCCTTCACGCCTCCTGGCTAAGTAGGCAGCGTGTACACTTGAAGAATGAGGCCTACGCGGTACCCTCAACTCAAGGGCCCCCTTATATCCTCTCCGAAAGATATCATGTAAGAAACGACACATCCCCATGATTCATCGAGCCTCAATTGCCTGCTAGGTGAGACCCTCAAAGTCCATACACTTACAACCCCTGATAAGCCATCGCTAACTTCAAAGTAAAGTATTCCGTATGCTATATACTATATACTATCTACTATCTACTACGTATTTTTCAGCAGGTGTCTGCGACTCTAAGACTCAATCACATTCCATCGAGAGACATGTCGGGGACGAAGATCATAATCTCAGCCACGAGGCGTCAATTTCGAGACTCCGGGGCTGTCGTCCAGTCGGACTTTACTCCCGACTCCTGAGAAAAGGGTCATCAACGGTCGTTCGATATTCGGACCTCGTGCAGAACAAGCAACTCAAGTCCCCCGCGGAACATATATTCGCTATCACATGATCCCAAAAATAAAGGCATGCGTATCACGCTCGTCATTCTACCAGCTTAGCAAGCAGGCCATTTCCTATACTCATGGCAGAGCCGCGCATCTCGCTACAGGCCCCATGTCTCAAGACGATAGATCGGACGTGGTATCGTCTCCCCGTATCTGGGGAAGAATCTACCTATACCTAATACCACCATGCGAAACATTACGCGAATTCAAAGTATCTAGAGAGCGGAAGCAGCGGGTAAACATCCATGCATGATCGCCGTCAGTCAACCATCACCTCCGTGCCTCGTCCGCATCCATATCGTATCTATGTCATGAGCACGTAAAGGCGACGCCGGGCAAACCCCCAGCGCCCTCCAATACATAAATGTGTTCCGTTCGCTGACTTAAATACGGCTCGACTCAATATCTTTCCTCTTCATCTCCAGTCATGGCGTCACGCGACGTCCCATATTTCCAAGTGATGTAAATATCTCAGGCAGCCGGCAAATACCGGATCACCAGGGATACTCCTCAGCACCTGACCCGGCAAGCTGAGGATACCAAACGTCAAGAACCAAAGAAGATATCACACCAGATCAAAACCAAACGTCACAAGATCCCTTCTCCCCTCAAGCACGGGCGGCCGAAACTCTAAGCCGCGGCACCGCCATCATCCAACGCCCGCATCTGACTACCTATTCGGCAAACTCATCACAAATCGAGAAGTCGTTTTATTCACGCAAGGTCTGACGACAAAAATAAAACCAAAACAAAACAAAAGCCGCACTCCATATACAGCTCCCCCGCACAGATTCACATGGAACGCTCCCCACCTCCTTTCCGTGCCGTGTGCCAGCCATGATCCAGATACGACGGTAAATAAAATAATCGCGGTCGAGCAAACCCGACGGGTCTAACTCGTTTTTCTTTGCACCAGGCGGCCGCCCCAGCAAACTAGAGTCGCATTACTCGCGGTAGGATTCCATCAGTCCACAATCTCGATTGGTCTAGTGGTCAGGATACCTGCTTGTCACTACAGGCAAGTTCGCAGGTGGCCGGGGTTCGATTCCCCGATCGAGAGTCGTTTTCTTTTTTTTTCTTTTCCCAACAAATTGGTCTCCTGTTTATTTGTGTTTTCTTCCTCTTCGTTAAGCGTAATAGGGTGCCTCTTTAGCTTGTGGATAATTGATTTGACTGTACACGATGTACGGCTCTTACGGTACGTCAACACATAATAGAAAGCGCAAACATTTAGAGCTTCGGATTGATTGGTCTATATAAACGTGAAATACTCATATCTACCTATCTACTACATATACATCATGTTTGTAGTAAAGATGTTTTTTTTTTTTTTTTTTTTTTTTTTTTTTTTTTTTTTTTTAATTTTTTTTTTTTTTTTTTTTTTTTTTTTTTTTTTTTTTTTTTGATAAAACACCAAGTATCATTATAACCAAATGAAACCCTGCGACTCAGGGGTAGTAGACCAACGATGAATTGAACCTCGCGGAGCAGAGACAAAACAACAATCAACAAGTGCAACAAGGGTGTATTTACCAACTCAACTCAATTCAACCCAAGCAATAATTGATACAATAACAGTGTACTTCGTAATCGCGCACCGACAGCAGACCAATAACCTCCACGGGAATCGAAGCACAGGCAAGCTGAGCAGACAGCTCCAATCAGCCTTGTAACCCCATCATCACCATGTTACTGAACACCCGCAGCCCCTTTGCAGTGCCTCGTCGGATTCCGTGCTTTATTCACCATTGAGGGGGAGACGGTGTCTGACCAACACAAGACAGGTAGAACTGAACAGGCCGACTTATGGTGTTGGGTAACATGTCCGATGAGAAGTAGGTATCCAGTCACTATCGGCGAGGCGTCGCAAACAGTAAGGCTGGTTGATAAACCTGGGGCGCAGGAGAGAATCAAAGGGCGGGAAATCGAACAAGCCACCTGCACCGCATGAATGGATCGGCTGAAAATAGGATAGAACATCAAGGGGGCCCGAGGAGGGTTGGAAATAGCGACGACTGGAAACTAGAGCTGTATCGAGTATTTTAACTGGCGTGCTCAACATGATATCATGAAAGGCATTGTCAATTTTCGCAGAAACGGTCTCAGCAAATGATTATATGCTACCTAGGGATCCGATATGTCTCCTAGCGAGTACATCTAAGACCCGTGTATCTACTTGAGACATGAAAAACTTAGAAAGTCAATCTGTAAACTGAGCAGTTCCAATCTAGAAACAGGTCAGCCAAGTACCGCAGCTTACGCCCCCACGTTCTGGTAGGCAAAGGATGCCGGTGGATTCCTAATGAGACGTTCAATGACCAGTTCCCTGCCTCGCCTTGAGCTGCAGTACTTTTGTGCTTCTCAATGGCTTGGACCAACTCGCCACATCTCCTGATGAAATCAAGGGACGTACGACACGTGCAGATCTTAATAAGCAGAAGCCCCCGCCCTTGAAAAATGAGCCGATATTACCATGTCTAATCAGCCGCGCCCTCTAGACAACGCCGTTTGTGCTTTTAAAAAAATAATACGAGCGATCCCGTTACGGTGGCGTAAACAGTGGGGTTTGCGCTGACGCGTGTAGGGGATTTCGATCACCATCGTCGATTACCAAGGGGCATGGCATTGGCGCCGCCGCCACCACCGCCACCACCTAGTGGGTTCGGTTAGCTTTTGACCATGTAGAGGCGAAGATGAGGGAGCCTACCACGGTGACCACCTCGACCTCCGTAGCCACGACCATATCGGCCGCCACCACCTCCACCGCCGTATCGAGCCATTTCGGCTAATCTTGGGTCAACCTGTTGCTTGGCCTCTTGGAGTACTCCAACGAGATCACGAGCCTGCTTCGAATCTGATTGCATAAGTTAGTCCTGTTGAGGAGAACATGATCGGGAAAAAACGCTTACTGTCAGTAGTGAAGAATGTGATGGCGGTACCCTTAGCACCAGCACGACCGGTACGTCCAATACGGTGAATGTAGTCTTCCGAGTTGTTCGGATAGTCATAATTAATCACATGAGTGATGTTGCGCACATCTTGATCACATAAAGGTTAGCTTGAGAAAACGAGTTGCTACGAAGCAAGTCCCAGCGGCGGACTTAGGGCGCCATAAGCATATTGTTCCGTGCTTTCTCCATCGAGAATGGGGCTGTCTGTTGCATCAACACTGCGAATCTGGAATTGATCCCAATAGTCTGGTCCGGGTCCTCGGGATTCGGGAATCTTTAAGAGACAGCTTGACAGAATCAAGAATTGCTCAAATTCGCCTACTTGCACCACGGGATATCAGGTACGAGGCGAAACATCGACACGGCCCGTGGGCCGCACCATAGATCCCGATCATCCGATGAAAAGGGGAACCACGAGACATGATTAGGCCAGACATATGTGCGCAATCAACAAAGCCCCTAGACATCACAGTCAAGCACATAGGATATAACTCTGCTGGAAGTTGTGTGGTAGGGGGGTAGGGGGGTAGGGGGGTAGGGGTGGGGAGTTTATATCATACCAATACCACGAGAAGCCACGTCAGTGGCAACCATGATGGGACTTTTATTGGTCTTGAATTGATCAAGAACCCAATCACGTTCGTTCTGCTGTTTGTCGCCGTGAATCGCTACGAATCTGTTAGTGCCACGAAAGAAATGTCTCGGAATGGAAACGCACATAGGGCCGGCCAGCCATCTTGGCGGAGAAATCTGGTAATCTCGTCGGCAACCCGTTTAGTTCCCACAAAAAGGAGGCATTTGTTTTCCTTATTGTCCATGATCTTCTCCAAATGCTTAATCATACGGTCACGCTTCTCGCCCTCGGAAACTACTTCGACGATTTGAGTGATACGATGGTTCGCAGACAAATCCATCGAACCAATGTTGACTTGGATGAAATCAGTCTGGAACTCGGAAGCTAGAGCTCGAACTTCCTTGGGCCAAGTGGCAGACCACATGAGCGTCTGACGATCGGGCCGAATCTGACTAATGATCTTGCGAATCTGCGGTTCGAAACCCATATCCAGCATACGATCAGCCTCGTCAAGAACTAAGTAAGTCACTCGGCGAAGGTTGGTCTTGCCACCCTCGAGCATATCAATCAGGCGTCCGGGTGTGGCGATGCAGACCTCGACTCCCTTCGATAGATCTCGAATCTGGGGACCGCGAGGAACACCTCCATAAACACAGGTATTGCGGATCCGGGATGATTTGCCGAACTTTGTGATTTCTTGTTGGATCTGAACGGCCAACTCTCTAGTAGGAGCCAGCACAAGGACAATGGGGCCATCGCCAGGTGCTAGCAAAGGCTGGGCGTTGATGTGGACGATAGCAGGAAGGCAATACGTAAGTGTCTTTCCGGAGCCTGTCTCGGCAATACCAACGACATCGCGACCTGAAAGGGCCATAGGCCAACCCTGAGATTGAATGGCAGTGGGGGCGGGAAACCCTTGAGCCTTGACCTCGTCCATAACGTATCGGGGGAAGCCAGCCTCGTCGAAAGTCTCGACAGGCTTCGGGACATCTCGACCGGCGATCGTAATCTGGTGATCGCGTCGGAACCGTTCGACTTCACTCATGGGCCTTTGGGCAACAGCCTCGTCTTCCTTATAGAAGGACTTCTCAAACTTGGGTAGTTTTCCCAGGTCTGTAGGTTGAGGTTAGTACAGATATGATGAGTAGCGTAGAATAGGAGACATACCCCACTGCGGCTTGCTAAGACCGGCCCCAAGGTTGCTCATTCGGTCACCGCCGCCTCCACCGCTACCATAACCGCCACCGCCGTAGCCACCACCACCTCCGCCATAACCACCGGAGTAGCCGTTGCTGTTATGAAAGATGCCGTTAGTATGGTGCGTATCAAACAGATTTTGGACGGAGTTGCGTCAATCCAACCACGTTAAACGAGTCGTCGGGAACGGAAAAGATAGTCGCGTATGTCGGCGATGTGCAAAAGCAGATACAAACATGACTTACCCATGGCTGCTGTACTCATGACGGCCACCAGAGCGGTAGCCGTCATGGCCATGTCCGCCGCTGCCACGCGAACCATAACCGCCGCCGCCGCCGCCGCCGTAACCACCTCCGTAAGACATGGTCGTATTGCGGATATGTAACTCGGGGCAGGTGTCGCGAGTTGGGGATGAGTAATTATGTACGCTGGTTCCAATGGCGAACCCTGCGCGAGCGCAATTAGAATTAGGCGAGCAGGCAACCAAGATGGAGGAAGCCTTGAAGTATGGTGGATCAAGACAGGAGCGCGACCTGCAGAAATGAGCGGGCGAAGAGAGGCGGGTTGTTGTGTGGAAAGATGGGGAGGAAAGGATTGTAGACTTGGGAAGAGATTGGGAATGCCTGGTCTGGATGGTTATTGATGGAGGCGAAAATTCCCTTCCAGACAATTTTTTTGGCACTAGGAAGTAGGCACGACCCACACCTAGATCGGCACAGTAGAGTTAGTACGTACCGACCGCGGCAATTTGCCTAAGGAGGTACATAAGGGCTCACGAGAGACCATGTATAGAAAGAGTACTGGCGAGCCGTAGTAGAGCGTTGAGAGAACAAACGGAGTACATTTGTGTGCACGTGACTAAAGTACTGCTAGTACTCAATGGCAGTAGTCATGTACGAAGAGGTAGGTGCGAAGGGTGCATAACGTGCACAATGGCACCAACTACGCACGGAGCAAGCGCGTTACCCCGGGTAGAGTTCGGCCGACCAAAGGGCTCGGCCAGCCAACTTACTCAGACACGTCGACAAAGTATTACAGGTGGGTGGCGCCCCTGGGTGGCCGAGCAATGCGGTAGGCCAACTGACAGGGTAAACTTAGGTATCGATAAGAAATTCCCGGCACCTGGGATTAGGCGGGTAGAGAGTCCTAGTTAGATGAGAGCCCATGAGGTTTGAAGTTTGAACCACGGTAAAGAACGCTGTAAGCCTGTAACTGCACTACCGGTACCTACGCATTCACTAAGGGCCCGATTAGAGCCTCTTTGTTGAAGCTATCAATGTCAAAGTGGGCCATCCGCCACGCCTTAATGCAATGTTATGAAGACCTACAATGTAATCC